ATATCCCCACAGTAAAGAATGCAAGCCAAGTAATGCTAATCGGCACACACATGGAAGGAAACCAATTAAATAATCATATAGTATCACGATGATACAAGTAACAACAGAAATCCCTTGAAACATTAAATAAAAGCTATGAGATAGCACAACTAAGAAACATCTAAAACAAATTCAAGTATAAAAAGTTATGTATCTCTACTGCAATTGTGGCATTTTTGTAATTTTTTAGAAAAAAAAATGGCAGAATTCACTGTTACATACCATTTGCTGCATTCTCAAGCCCCATACCGTATACATTTTAACTTAATAGATATATATTGATATATTGATGATAGTTCAAACTATATTTTATTGATTAAAACATCAAGGTTATAAAATATAGGGAAATTGTGTAAAATAAATAATGAGTTTTCAATATTTTTCTTAAATTCATCATAATTTTTCAAAATATCTAAAACTCACTATGTAAGTTTTTATTTTCCAAAATTCATTTTCCATTAGTGCATCGTTAATGTTTCTTAACAGAGGTGTTCATGTTAGCATAAATAATAATTTGCATGACTAAATTACCCTTGAATGGTGAGTTAGAGGAAAAATGGTCTTTTCAGTTTTCAATTTTCTTGTTTTTTTTTTTTGCATTTTTAGTGTTTTGTTATAATTTCGAGTGTTTTTTATATTTTCTATTTTCTACAATCTATAATTTTTCCTATATTTTTTGTTATTTATTTGCAATTTATATGCTTTCTATAATTTTTTGGTGTTTTTCTACAATTTTTATTTTCTGATTTTGTTTTTCAATTTCTATAGTTTCTATAATTTGAAATATATTTTTTATTTTGTTTTCACTTTCTATAATTTTTTATATTTTTTGTAATTTCTATGTTTTTATGTATTTTATATTTGAAAATATTTTTTGAACTTTTTTCCTTTTTTTCATGTCTAAATATTAAAATGGAAATATATTAACACTGTTATTTATTTTGTATATATTTTATATTTTTCTATGAAGGTTAAAATGGTAATATATTAACACCTGTTAGTTTATTTAACGTCAAGTAAGAGACATGGTGAGTTTTAGACATTTTGAAAAGTTGTGGTGAGTTTAAGAGAAATGCTGGAAATTCATGGTGAGTTTTAGACAATTTCTCTAAAATATATTAGATCAAACGATACAAATCAACCTAAGGTCTATTTAAGTCTTGGTTGGCTAGTCCTTGGATGTTGGATCCACTTAGGTAGTTCATTAACAAACAATCCAAACTCTTTTAGACCTTGTTTAGCCAATAGATGAGCAACCCTATTACAAAGCCTATTTACATATATAAAAGAAATAAAAAGACTAGCAGTAACAACATCAATATTCTTGCTTAGAAATAGAACATCTGAGGCCAAGTCAAAGTTCTTAGAGTTCAGTGCTTGAACTAGAGGAAGACAATTTGATCCCACCTTTATATGTACTTTGTCGAAATCTTTCAAAATCTTCAGACCATTGAGCAAAGCCATAGCTAGGGGTGGCCACAAGTCGAGCTCTTCATGAGCTACTCGAGCTCGGCTCAGCTCGATTTTAACCAAGCTTCGAGCCAAGCTCAAGCCAATTTATAGGCTTGTTTAATAATCGAGCTGAGCTCAAGCCTAATATAGCTCAATTCATGAGCCGAGCTCGAATAGCTACATACATACATACATACATATATATATATATATATATAGTGTGTGTGTGTGTGTACACATAATAATAATAATAATAAAATTATAGAAATAATATATATAATATTTTTAGTTTTATATATAATAATAAATAATTATTATAATTCTTAATTTTTAAATATCAAATAAAAAATATTATATATATATATATATATATTTTTATAATACATTTTTTCTCAAGTCAAGCTCGAGCTGAGTCGTGCTCGAGATCAAGGTTCTAGCTCAAATGCTCGAGCTCGACTCATACTATTCGGCTCAGCTCTACTCGAATCCACCCCTAGCCATAGCTTCTGATTGGATGGGAGAGGAAGTTTAGTTTTACCAAAAGTGCAGCTACTACCGTTCCTGTAGAGTCTCTCAACATAGCACCATATCCCGAGCAACTAGGGCTCAAAAAACTTCCATCCATGTTTAGTTTTAGCTGACCTGGCTCTGAAGCTACCCAAAATGATGTAGATGGCATTCTAGGATTTTGATACGGTTGAGAAGAGCTTTTACAAATTCTGCTTGGGAAATCCTCATTCTCTCCTTCTATATCCTGTAAGTCACAACAAGAGTAGATCTTGGATCTAGATCAATATTTTCAAAAACTTTTAGGTTTCTACATTTCCAAATATTCCACTGAATTAGAAACAAAAAGGCAATCAAGTGATCCTTTCTATCTTTCTCTTGCACACTAAAGTCTAGCCATGTTGAAATCCACTGCTTGAAAGAAGAAATATGGGTTCCTCTACTTACCTTAGCACTGAGATGGCAGCCAAACCAACTGCTTGTGTATGATCACACTCAAAACAACAATGCATTAGGGACTCAGTCTCTCGATGGAAAATTGGGCAGATATCATCTATGGCAAGCTTTCTTTTATAAAGGTTTTATTTGACTGCAATAGCATTTAAACAATATTTCCATATGAAATTTTTAATTTTTAGATATATTTTTGCTTTCCTCAGACTATCGAGATTTTCTTAAACCCGACTTGGTTGCATCATTATTAATGCTATTGCCATTTATTGCAAAATATCCTGGCCCACATGGGTGAAAACTATATGTGAGTTCAGTCTCGAGTTATAGTAAAGTGAGACTCGAGATTTACATGCTTAGTACGCCAAAATATGAGCCGCCTGATTCGTATCCCTATTTACAAATACTGAAAACATTACTTGAATTTACTCAACTTGATTATGCTTGGTTAATGCAGGTATCCACAAGGTTTTTAAAACTAAACCGGATAATGAATCAATTAGGGGTCCGGTTCCTGGGTCGAACGGTTCAATTGTTCGAACTGAGCAGACAGCCTGTTCTAAAAAAAGAAATAAAAAAAAATTTAAAAAATAAAATCAGACCAAGCTGTTAAAAGTGAGCATTTAGATCCGAGATGCAGTGGGAGAAGTCTTTGTTTTCATCTGCGCCTAACTGGTTAGAAGTAAAGCTATAGATAGAATTGATGAAGGTGGAGGTGGAGGTGGAGGTGGATGTGGCTTTTTCAATGACACATGGCGGGTTAGAATTGGGTACAAGTCATGGGATTATAGTCTTATCCAGATTTCCTTCTTATTTATTCAGATATTGAGGCAGCAAAGTCAACGGTACCTGCTTAATGATCTAGTTCTAGTATATA